GTTGTTCCTCTGCTTTTTTTTGAGCAAACTGAAGGACATTCTTGAGCTGGATGCACTGAACAGCGTTTATGTCCTGAGTTTCAAGCCAGGCCAGGCCTATCTTCAGTGCCTTTACTGCCTCTGTTGCTGTTGGAACGTTCACTATGTGTAGATCTTCCTGCTCTTCTGGTTCCCCTCTTTTCACCATCAGTGCCTCTGCTACTATTCGAAAACTAGTGTTGGTTGGGTCTTTCCCTTTTTCTAGTTCCTCTGTTTTAACCTCCACTGACTCTGCTGGAATGCTAGTTCTATGTGTGTCCTCTTGCTCTTCTGGTTGGACTGTTGGTATGAGAACATGAGTTCTGTGTGTGTCTTCTTGTTCTTCTGGTTGCACTGTTGCTGGTGAAATACTTATGTACGGATCTTCTGGTTCCTCTGTTTTGACCTTCACTACTTTTGTTGCTGCTGGAATGCACATTTTGCGTAGGCCTCCCTGCTCTTCTGGTTTGTCTGATTTGACCTTCACTACCACCCACTCTGCGGGATCCTCTGTTGCTACTGGAATACTGGTTATCTGTGGGTCTTCCTGCACTTCTCGTTGCTCTGATTTCATTCTCAGTGACTCAGTTGCTGTTGGAAAGCTTGCTATGTGTGGGTCTTCCTGCTCTTCTGGTTCGTCTATTTCCACAGTTACAACAAACCATTCTTCTGGTTCATTTGTTCCTACTGAAATTCGCGATATTTCTGGTTCCTCTGTTTCTGCTTTATTGTTCTGGACCTGGGCTATCAGCTGCTCATCTGTTAGGTACTCAGTGATAGGTGCATCATCATCTATTGTGGTCCAGAATTCCAACCAGTTACTCAGTGTCACATCCTCATCTATAAGATCCTTTAGCTTCTCCTGGGCTGCCAAGATTTCCTCTGCCGTAAATCCCACTAAGATGTCATCCTCGATGATGTCATCAGTTGGCTCTTCTGTGAATGCATCACAGAGACCCTTTAGCCAACACCTCTGGATGCAGGTTGTACTCACCTCATCCCATGCTCTTGTTGCAAGTTTGAATACATCCTTCAGGTTCATTTGATTTAAATATTCAGTAACCATTAGATCAGAGTATACAAACTCCTTCACAAGTTCACTCCTATAGTTCTTTTTAAAGGTGCCAATTATGCCCAGGTCAAGTGGGTGTATTTTGCTGGCCGTATTCTTGGGTAGATAAAGCACCTTGATTTGGCAATCCGTGTCTTGCAAACCTGCAGCTGGTGGGTGGGCAGGGCTGTTGTCCAGGAGTAGTACAGCCTTCTCTGACAGACCTTTGGATCGAAGGTGGCATTGAACACTTGGCACAAAGGAATTGAAAAACCAGTCTCTGAAGATATCTGATGTCATCCTAGCATTTCTACTGTGGTTGTAGTCGATGGGCATGGATTTCATGTTCAATCGGTGGAAGAACCATGGGGACCGGTACTTGCCGATGCAAAGGGGCTTAGCTTTGTGAGTTCCTGGCTTATTTGTAGCAAATAGGAAAGTCACTCTGTCCTCACTCTCGTGATCAGTGTTTTTCACTGCTAAACTCTGCTCAGGCAGCATCCGGTAGTACAGAACACTCTCACCAGCAATGTACACCTGCTCATCACTGAGTTGTTCTTTTTCCAGTATGGTCTTCAGATCTTGGGGGCTGGATAAGACAGTAGTTGAACAATTGAACTTTATTTGGCTGAATCCATGTCTCTTATTGAAACGATGGAGCCAACCTTGGCTAGCAACAAAGCTTGTGTCACCATTGAGTACTTTGGAGAACTTCTCAGCCTGTGCTTTCAATCTTGGACCAGGAATTGGGATGCCTTGTGACTTCTTTTGCATGATCCAATTGTAGACCACAGTGTCCAGTGTTACATCCCTGGCTGGTCGGGCTCGCTTTCTGGATATACTAGCTGTCATGGTGAAGGTTCGCAGCTTGAGTTCTTCCTTCAACCAACCTCGTAATGTCGACTCTGGCACTCCAGCTTCACGGCTAACTCTGGCTTGTGATTCGCCACATCGTATCCTATTTACTAACTTGAGTTTTTCTTGGACTGTGTACGACTTTCTTTTCTTATAGCTGGTAAACCTGTTGTTCATATTGTTAAAAAAACACAAAATACTGCAGATGCTGGAAATGTGAAAATAATTTTCAGATTTCCATATTGTTCAGTTCAGTGCTACAATATGTTGTACTTACAGTGGATTTTGTGTTACAATAGCGTCTGATAACTGTGTTTAAAGAACGTCTGATGAAGAAAGGTTGAGACCCTGATGGATCCGCGTTATATAGGCACCCGCGTCACTAACACAACATTAATTGTAACGCCCTTTACTCTGACGAGCGGGTTTGGAGATACTTCCGCTATCACCAGCGCCCTCAATCCTGACATTAAAAGGCTGCGACCTACAGGTCGGGACGATCCGCTCACTCAACTCCTCTTCCCCCTCAGGCATTTCCTGCCGCCGCCGCCATCTTGTCCAGCAGCTGCTCGGCTCCTCCCCAGCGCAGCTCTTGGTGTTTAACACTCGCCAGACCGGGGGGCGAGGGGAGGGGAGGGGGGGGGAGGGGGGAGGGGCTGCTCTGCTCCATACAGAAGCAGTCACAGCCTCCCGGTCACTACCCTCGCCTCCCGCAACACACGGGGCAACGCGCGAGCGGAAATGACAAGCTCCGCGCTGCCGCGACTTCCGGGAGAACGGGCGCCTGAGCCAATGGGAGGCCGAGCAAGGGGCGGGATATCCGGTTCGCCCGCGACGGTAGAATAGCGAGCGACAGCGTCTGACCGAACCCCCAGCGATGAGCGCCTGGAGTGTGAGGGATCAGCTCAGCGTGGAAACCCGGAGGGACAACCGGACCTGGAAACCATGTCACCGAATAAAACAGATCGCATTTATAACGTGCCTTACACCCTCAATAAGACTCAAAACCCTTTTGCATTATTTTGTTTAAACAAACCCGGTGTGATTATGGTCTGTTTCTCTTTCCGACAGCAAGTGGTGGTTAGCAACGTTCACGTCACCAAGTCCAGGTTGGTGAGCCAGTGGGAGATGTTTTGAAGACAAAAGTTTTTATTTCAGCTATCGACAGTCACACCAGGGCCACGTCTCAGTTTGGAAGCTTCTGTGCCTCCTCTCCCAATAACAACAAATCGCCTTTGTAATAATAATAATCCTTGCATTTGATGTAGCGCTTTTCATGTCTTCTAGACGTCTCAACGCGCTTCACAGAATATACTGTAGTTGAGGGTCGAACAAGACGGCAAGTTTTCAGACTGGCTTAGTAAGGTGCAGTGTGCGTCCTTGGATGGTGAGGCTGTCAGCGCCAGAGGTGTGGAGGTGCTGACGGGAGCCAATAAGAAGGGTCTCGATCTTGTTGACCTTCAACTGAAGAAAGTTAGCTCTCATCCAGGCCTTGATGTCTGACAGACAGCAATGGTCCTGGAGTCAAGGGTGAGGACTGTGGTTTCATTCTGTCAAGGTTAGCACTTCCATTTTGGCAATGAAGCTTTACACAAATCAATGATGTGACCAACATGATAATATTTGCACCTTAAAGCATGATTCGATCGTGGCTATGAAATTCTCCTAAATGACAATCCAAAATCATGACATTGGGCTGTCCAAATTTGTTGTCACACCTGAAATCACCTAATTTCCTTTAAATAGTGTTTGGAAAACATCTACCTGCCAACCCTACCAACCTGCCCGCTCTCTCCGTTCATCGGGCTCCGGCCTGCTCCATGTCTCCCGCCCGACCATCGGTGGCCGGGCTTTCAGCCTCTCTGCCCCCACACTCTGGAACGCCATCCCACGGTCCCTTCACCTCCCTTCCTCCCTTGCCTCCTTCAAGACCCTTCTCTTCGACCGCACCTTTGGTCTCCCTCCCACCTCTCTGCCTTCCCTCACCCCTACACCACCCCTCCCCCATGCTCAGGCCCCAACACCTGACTGTCCAGCGCTTTGGGACATCCTCCCGATGTGAAAGGCACTCTATAAATGTAATTTTGTTGTTGTTGAGGTTCTTAATGGGTTGTGAAAGCTTAGAAGAGGGAGGGGACAAGGAAAAGAGATTTCGGAAGAGTTTCAGGGGGCAGGAGCAATGCAGCTGAAGCTCACCTGTGATGGCCGATGAATGGCAGAAAACAAATCAGAATTAGTAGTGTGGAGAAAGTGCTTGAATACATAGGGTCAGAGAACTTTGAGGTAGGGTGGGTAAAAAAACATGGGAGTCTTTTAAATGCAACAACAAGAAATTTAGTTGGTCAGATGAGGATGGGGTAATTAGCGTTCAGATTCCAATGTGAGAGAATCTGTGGAGTTCTAGAGTGGAGCTGAGCAGGCTATAGCCAGGAGAGCAATGGAAAAGTCAAAAGTTATGGTAAAGGATTTCATTTATGTAAGGGGTGGTAACAGAACCAGGCATTGTTTTGAAGGTGGAGAAAATCCTGGTTGAAAGCTTTAAAGGAAAGTTGGAAGGCTGAACAAAACGCCACACTTCCGTAAAGGATCCTCGAATTATAATGAGCGTCTGGGAAAATTGAGTCAGCACATGCTCAGGAAGCACTGATGGGAGCCAAGCATTATTGTCTGTTGTATTGGTATGAAGTTAAGGCTCAATCAAGACTTGATGTCAGAATAGCAAGTCTTACAAACAAGGTTGGAAACCAAAAGGTAGAAATAGGTGTTATTGGTGCGCATGTGGAAAGTGGACCAGATTGTTCTCAAAGGAGACTATGTAGATGAGAAAACCAGTTACGGTTGTCTTGGGTCTATTATCTCAGCAGCTAGTATAAATGGGAGTTTAAAAAAAGCCGACTTCCAAGCAGGAAGTGACATGAGCAACAACCTGAGAAGCAGCTGGCTGTCTTTTTAAGAGCTGAAAGCTGGGTTATCAGTGATGGCAGCCAAGGTGCACAATGCTTTTGGTTAAAACCAGTCCACAGTAGGTAAGTGCGTGCTTAACTGGGACGTGTGTCTAAGAGTTTACTAACATTTGTGAACCAAACGTTCAGTGGGGCTGCACTCTTAAATTCCATTTGTTGAAATATAGTTACATTTGAGCCTGCCTATTGGAAACTACAAGACAGATAATGTTCACATTTATTTATTACTTCACTTTGTATTTTGTTTAGTATGTTGGAAGTTCATGCATCCACAAAATCGCATTCAAATACAACAGTTAATAGCCCTTTTTCCTCTCTTTTTTGTTCCCCACTTCCCATCCTCTTCCCACTTTATTGTTCTGGACCTGGGCTATCAGCTGCTCATCTGTTAAATGCTCAACAACAGGTACATCATCATCTATTGTAGTCCACACATCCAACCAGTTACTCAGTGTCATATTCTCTTCTATAAGATCCTTTAGCTTCTCCTGGGCTGCCTGGATTTCCTCTGCTGTAAATCCCACTAATATGTCATCCTCGATGATGTCATCATTTGGTTCTTCTGGGAACGCATCACAGAGACCCTTTAGCCAACACCTCTGGATGCAGGTTGTACTCACCTCATCCCATGCTCTTGCTGCCAGGTAGAACATCTCTTTTAGATTGATATGATTTAGGTATTCATTAACAGCTAAGTTAGAATTCACAAGCCCCTTCACAAGTTCCCTCCTATAGATCCTCTTAAAGGTGGCAATTATGCCCAGGTCAAGTGGTTGGATTGTGCCGGTTGCATTTTGGGGCAGATAGAATACTTTAATTTGTCCATCAAAAGATTGTAGATTGATAGCTGGAGGATGGGCAGGGCAATTGTCCAGGAGCAGGACAGCTTTCTCTGGCAGACCTTTGGATCGAAGGTGGCATTGAACACTTGGCACAAAGGAACTGAAAAACCAGTTTCTGAAGATGTCTGTAGTCATCCAGGCATTTCTACTGTGGTTGTAGTCAATTGGCATGGATTTCATGTTCACATGGCGGAAACATCGAGGGGACCGTAACTTGCCAATGCAAAGGGGCTTAACTTTGTGAGTCCCTGGCTTATTTGTAGAAAATAGAAAGGTCACCCTGTTCTTGAACCCTTCACTTTCATGGTCAGCCGTTTTCTTCACTTTGGTTTGTTCAGGCAGCATCCGGTAGTACAGACCAATTTCACTGGCGTTGTACACCTGCTCATCACAGAGTTCCTCTTCTTCGAGTATGGTCTTTAGTTCTTGTGGGTAGGATGAATCAGCAGTTGAGCAACTAACCTGGTTAATTCCATGTCTCTTGTTGAACCGATGGAGCCAACCTTGGCTGGCCACAAAGTTTGTGTCACCATTAAGTTCCTTGGAGAACTTCTCAGCCTGTGCCTTTACTATTGGGCCAGAGATGGGGATGCCTTGTGACCTCTGTTGCATGATCCAATTATAGACTACAATGTCCAGTGATGCATCCTTGGCTGGACGAGTTCGTTTCCTGGATAAGCCCACAGCCTCACTAACTGTCATAGTGAAGGTTCGCAGCTTAAATTCGTCTTTCAACCAGCCACGTAATGTCGATTGAGGTATACCAGAATCACGACTAACTTTTACTTGTGATTCACCAGATCGTATCCGATTTACTATCTTGAGTTTTTCTTGCACTGTATATGACTTTCTTTTGCTCATATTGTTCAGTGCAGGGCTACTGTACTCTGCTGCTAAATAATGCACTTTACTATGGTTTATATTATTCACAATATTTGTGATTGCAATACCTGCATTTAAAGGATATCTGATGGAAAAACATTGGTGCCTGCATTATACACCAACGATGGACTAATGTACAGGATAACAGGGAATATAGATCAGTTATTGAAAAAATATTGCTAACTCAACATTACAATTAATATTTGTGGTTATTATCATGCCCTGTTGTAAATAACCAAATGCTCTGGGTAGAAAGGCCTTTTAATCAAATATGAAAGTACCCAGGCTGTTCCATCACTCATGGGGCACCAGAGCTAAACTAATTGTACGTGAATATTGTATTCACTTTCAGAACTGAGAAAAGTGGGTATTACAACATTTTATGTTGCAAATTCACGGATCAATCGTCAACTGAAAGACAAAACTCCAGGCATTTTTTTTAAAAGAAGAACTGAAACGATGGCCGGGGGGGGGGGGGGGGGTGGGGGGAGCAAATATACAGAAGCGAAACACGGGCTGAGGGCAAGAAGACCACAAAGAAATCACTGAATTTGAATGTTTCACATACCGCCCCAGACCCACCGCAAACGTGAGGGAAACGGACAAAGAAAGAGGAGCTCGGCCAGGCTGAATGACACAGACCCTGATAGGTTTACGGGAGGCGGCAGGGGAGTGGCTCCACCCGGGGAACTTTTTTAATTTAACAAAAACGCTGAAGGAGTGGCAATCCTACTGAAAGGGCAATATTTTCAGGGCAGGCTGGGTCGTCTAAAAGCAGCCGGCTCTTGTGACCACCTTTCCTCTGATACGCTTTCTGCCCAATTCACTATAACGCCGCGTCGAATAGTTACCCCCAATTTTTACTCAAAACGAGGAGGTTTGGAGACGCCTCAGCGCCCTCAATCCTGACATTAAAAGGCTGCGACCTACAGGTCGGGACGATCCGCTCACTCAACTCCTCTTCCCCCTCAGGCATTTCCTGCCGCCGCCGCCGCCATTTTGTCCAGCAGCTGCTCGGCTCCTCCCCAGCGCAGCTCTTGGGTGTTTAACACTCGCCAGACCGGGGTGGGGGGGGGAATGATCTGCTCCAGACAGGAAAAAGTCGGGTGTCTTTTACACTGATCCTCGCCTTCCTAATACATGAGCAAATGCGCGAGCGGCGGGTCGCGTTCTGCGAGTTTTTGTCCCAGGACCCAGTCCGAAGAGACGGGGGAGGGGGTACAGAGGCCAGCGAGTGGGGGGGTGAAGGGAAGTGGCCGCACCCATCGCCGACCACATCACCAAAGTATCATGGCGCCCAGCGAGGGCCGTTCCTCTTTTTTTCTCTGGAACATTCGCAGCTTTTCTCTCGCGCGGGCGCGTGCACGCGCACACAGACACCAACCTAACGTGCTGACACGGAAATGACGCGGGCGAGAGCCTGATTGACGAGGCACTTCAACGAGACCCACCGGCGATGGGCCAATAGGAGGCCGCAAGTGGCGGGGGTGGGAGGTCCGGTGTCAGGTTAGGTTGAGGCGGCAGAATGCGTCGTTTTTTTTCAAAAAAATTCGGTAGAGAAGCGAGTCCCCGCGGCTGCGCGAAGCCAGAGCACCGAGCGCCATGTTTGTGAGGAATAACCACAGCGTGTGAACAAATTCCTTCTCCTCTCGCCAACCAAACTCACCAAGAACAAAACGGCGGAAAAAAAAGAGGGGTATCAAACTCTAGAGCCAATACGCAAACAGTTTAACCAAATAAGACTCGCGTAAGACTGAACGCTCTTGTGTTATTTTGTTTAACCAAAAAAGCCAACTGTTTGACCGTGAAGTTTTTTTCATCTTCAGCCATCAACAGTCACACCAGCAACGTCTCAGTTTTGGGAGACTCTTGTGTCTCTTCTCTCTCTCTCAGTCTTGTTCTGTTTTGTGGGGCAAAACAAAACCAATGGCTTTTGAAAGCCTTTTCTCCAGTCCCCCAACCCCAGTTGACAAAAATGATGCTCTAAACATGACAGAGTCTGAGCTGGCAGGGGATGAAAGGTCGAGTAACATTCTTATATATCAACCATTCTGCAATAACTTTTTATTTTATAAGTTTTAACCTTGCCATTATCTTATCTATATCTACCTGTTTAATTTTTTTAAGAGAAAAAAAGGAAATCAGTTTCATGGGAGATGAATACTAAGCAGTTTGCATCTCTTATCTCTCTCTCTCTCTGTACAGTATGTTTGCTGGGAAGGGCTTTTCCTGTCCTTTTTTTTTAAAAAAGGCTACAATTTGTGCATGCTTGTTTTTTTAAAAAAATCCATTTGTCCATAACATTACACTGCTCATGGTAAGTTTTATACTTGGTGGGAGGGCGGAGGGTTGGAAGCTTTTTAAAATATATATATATATAAACATAGGGAATAATTTGATTTTATTTCTTGTAATTAACGAGATTGAATGTCTTGTCTCCGAACTTCTTTTGTCCGTGAAAAACCTTCTCGAACGGGAGCCTCTGGGGCGGATCTGGTTTCATGCTGTCTCATCAGATTACAGACTCCATTTTGGCAGTGAAGCTTTATGTAAATCAATGGCCTGCCTGACCGACATGTTAACGTTTAGTTTGTTGCGCCACAGAAATACCCCATGAGCACAGAACAAAGGAGTCCCTCTCCCAAGCTTAAATTTACAAAGCAAGCATAATCACGTGGACTTTTTAAATATAAAAAAGAAAAAAAATCGGAAAACAAAACTGTTTAACCCCCCCCCCCCCCCTCGGTTTTGCTTTTTTTTTCTCTCCAGCAGTCTTTTGCACATAGATCTGTAACATCAATTCACCTGGTCGTTACAAAATTAAAAAGTCCAAGAATAGTCAGTTTGGGGGAGGGGGTTAAAATTAACTCAGAACATTGGGGCTGCCAGATGTTTTTGTGTTCAAAATTTTAACTTTTCAGCTCTTAAGATATTCTTTGTTTAAATATACTTGCAGCTGACTACCCCCTTTTTTAAAAAAGCTTGGCAACTATATAACAAGATGATTCATTGCATCACAATTTTTTGTTTAATTTGTTGTAGACTCGTAAATCTGAGACTGCAGTCAAAAACGCATTTGAATACAGTAGTTTCCCCTTCTTCTTTTCCTTCCCTCTTCCTCTTTTCCAACTCGTCCCAAACCCTAGAAATCATTTCAGGTTCAGTGGGAATGCTCGCATTACGCATAGATGTGGAATGTTAAATGAGTTCCCAGTGGATAAGTAGTCGAAAAATATAATCTAAATGACGACAGGGGAGACAGATTTAACATACTTTTTCTTGTAGAAATTGTTTGTGAGCCATTTATTTTGTACTAGGTTAGTTGAAATTCATACTTGATGTAGCCGGTTAGATTTCGGATGAAAGACTTGATAACTTGTAACAGATATGTTCAAAGTATCTTACCAATTTTAGTACAAAGAATTATTTACAGAACTTTGTTCTGTCAATTTTCTGTTGATATTTGATAGTAAAAAGTAAGCAATAAACACGGATAGCATTATTTGAGTACAAGCTTGGACATGTTGCTGAATTAAAATACATTAATGATACTAAATTGGTTTGGTTCTCTATGCCAATGATGATTTAGCTCCTTCACAATTGGGCTTGAGTAAAATTATTTAGTACAGTAATCCTCACTTTTAAACTGGAAAAAGAACCAAAATGGATAAAACACAAATGAAAAGATGTTGATCAGAAATCTTTGCAACTACAGTATTTTATTTTTACGGTTTGATGATGCAATTTCATCATTGGAGCTAACTTTGGAAGGTTAAATGAGGAGTGAAAATAGTTTGGGAATAACTTCCTCTGTCAATGTACTCCCTTAATGCTCATAGTCAGAATTGTATGCATGATTTTATTTGAGGGCTGACATAAATAGATGATTGTTCTAAATATATCTGTTAGCAAGGATGTCCATGTTCTTGTGAAACATTAAAACTTCCTGTTTGAAATTGCAGAGACGTAGGGCTTGTTATCTGAGTGTCACCCAAGCATTAATTAATTAATGTCTTAAATTGTAGAAATTTTAAACGTGGTGGTCCAGTAAGTTCCCAATATTTTAAGATGAGAAATTAGAATGTTGGTTCACACTCATTATTTATCAGTTTGTGCTTCTCTAATCTATGAGATGATCTATAAGAAGAGCCAAGCAGATCACAAAACACTTGCCCTCAGAAAAGCAGTCCCAGGGGTGTTTTCTTTCATACACCTCTTTGTAACTAGTTACAGAGTGAGAACTCTCGAAGCTGATTACAAAATGTTTGTCTCTTGGGGTTTTTTAATGTCAGGGAAAATTTGGAAAGGATGAGTGAAAATAAAATTGTTTGCACCCTCGTCCCCTTTTAAAAAAAACTCCTGTAGTGCTTTTGATTCTGGTTGGTTTTCCTTATCTTAGAAAGATACTTGATGTGTGGAAGATTAAAGTATTAAGACAGTTTTAATTCCACAAATGTAGTATCTTTCAGGTGCTCCTTTGATTCCCAGATGTCATACTCGGGTTGTATTGTGTTTTGGTCAGGCTGCACCTATAGTACTGCGTACAGTTCTGGTCACTGGAACATAAGTTGGATGCCCAGACCCTAGAAGCAGTGCAGAGGAAAATAACAATGCTCCCCAGTGTCAGAGAAATGAGCTATTATCAACAATTAGACAAGCTAGAGCTCCTTAGTCTTGAGGGACTATAACTCAGAAAGGACCTTATAAAGGTGTATATAATTTTATATGGGATTGAAAAAGTGAACCCTTTAGGATGCATCAAGACAGTAGAACAAGTGGATTTAGGTTTGGAGTTGTAAAAGGGCAATTTCAGAACAGATAGCAGAAAGATTTTGGATACTCGGGGTAATCAATAACTGGAACAGGATGCCAGGAAAGGTGGTAGAGGCAGACACAACGTTTAAAAAGCAGCTCGACACTATGATGGGAGGACGGAAGGGTGGGTAATTTGGAGGGATGAAATCTTGTGAATCTTGTGATTTTGGCTAATGTTATCTTAATATTGTGATGTGGTATGATTTGCATATCTCAACAAATGCAAGTATATATCTTAGCAGCTATGCCTTACCCTACTTAAATTAGCTTCCACCTGAAGTCGCAACAGATTAATCTATGACTGGATAGTGTTGTATTCATAATGCTGCACATCAGATGTAGGATTCATCCATCATTCATCTTGCCATGACCTGCTCTGCCTTCCCCCATCTCCGCAACATTGCCCAACTCCGCCATTGCCTCACTCCTTAGGCCGCCAAAACTTTCATTACATCCTATGCCAACTCCCTGCTTGTCAGTCTTCCCAACTCTTCCCTTCACAAGCGGCAGATCAGCCACAACTCGCGGCTCATTTTCTCTCCCCACACCAGCTCTGTGACCCCATCACATCCACCCTCGCTCGTTCCACTGACTCCCCATCCTTCAGAGGA